GCGTGCCGACAGCCCGGCCATGCTCCACGGGTGCCTGAGTCCCTGCAATAGGCGTGGGCCATTCTCATCCCACCTGCCATGGGAAGCCCTGCGCTGCGTCCATCCAGTGCAAGCCCACATGCCTCAGCAGGGACCGGCGCAATGGCCCGTGGAGCGAGGCACGGTGCCGGCAGAACAGCCTGGGGATCCCAGCCAAACAGCAGCAGCACGGCACCAGTCTGTGGCAGACCCCACGTCCCTTACTGGGAGACACCTGCAGAGCGCGCCCCGCCTCGGCCTTCCTAGAATCGCTGGGGCCTGGGCAAGCCGGGCGCAGAGCCAGGCTCTGGGGAACATTTGGGGCACAGCTGGTCACACTAGGGATGTGAAGGACTAGTCGATTCCCCTCCCCCCCTTGCTGCTTCTATCAGATAGAGGCAGCAAAGGGGGGGAGAAGGGGGCACTTCAAAGGGGCAGTGCCGCACAGCTGAGCCTTGAATCAGCTGTGTGGCGCTGCTGCGCGACTCATGGCTCCGTGTGGCATTTCAAAGCAGCAGGTAGCATGGAGCCCAGGGTCAGTGACGTCTGAGCCCCCCACTGACCCCAGGCTCCAGGCTGCACTGCCACTTTGAAATGCACAAGAGCCTCCACTGGGCCCCCGCTGGGGACTCTCGTGCATTTCAGAGCTGGCCCCGCGTGCAGTCTGGAGGGAGTGGGACTCTTAGAATCATAGAATCATAGAATCATAGGACTGGAAGGGACCTCGAGAGGTCATCGAGTCCAGCCCCCCGCCCTCAAGGCAGGATCAAGCTCCATCTACACCATCCCTGACAGATGTCTATCTAACCTGTTCTTAAATATCTCCAGAGAGGGAGATTCCACCACCTCCCTTGGCAATTTATTCCAATATTTGACCACCCTGACAGTTAGGAATTTTTTCCTAATGTCCAATCTAAACCTCCCCTGCTGCACTTTAAGCCCATTACTCCTTGTCCTGTCCTCAGAAACCAAGAGGAACAAATTTTCTCCTTCCTCCTTGTGACACCCTTTTAGATATTTGAAAGCCGCTATCATGTCCCCCCTTAATCTTCTTTTTTCCAAACTAAACAAGCCCAGTTCATGAAGCCTGGCTTCATAGGTCATGTTCTCTAAACCTTTAATCATTCTTGTCGCTCTTCTCTGTACCCTTTCCAATTTCTCCACATCTTTCTTGAAATGTGGTGCCCAGAACTGGACACAGTACTCCAGCTGAGGCCTAACTAGTGCAGAATAGAGCGGCAGAATGACTTCACGAGTTTTGCTTACAACACACCTGTTAATACAACCTAGAATCATATTTGCTTTTTTTGCAACAGCATCACACTGTTGACTCATATTCAACTTGTGGTCCACTATGACCCCTAGATCCCTTTCTGCCATGCTCCTTCCTAGACAGTCGCTTCCCAACTTGTATGTATGGAACTGATTGTTCCTTCCTAAGTGGAGCACTTTGCATTTCTCTTTATTAAACCTCATCCTGTTTGCCTCCGACCATTTCTCTAACTTGCTAAGGTCATTCTGAATTATGTCCCTATCCTCCAAAGAAGTCGCAACCCCACCCAGTTTGGTATCATCTGCAAACTTAATAAGCGTACTCTCTATCCCAATATCTACATCATTGATGAAGATATTGAACAATACGGGTCCCAAAACAGACCCTTGAGGAACTCCACTTGTTATCCCTTTCCAGCAGGATTTAGAACCGTTAACAACCACTCTCTGACTACGGTTATCCAGCCAATTGTGCACCCACCTTATCGTGGCCCTATCTAAGTTATATTTGTCTAGTTTATCAATAAGAATATCATGCGAGACCGTATCAAATGCCTTACTAAAGTCTAGGTATATGACATCTACCGCTTCTCCCTTATCCACAAGGCTCGTTATCTTTGCTGGTCCCGGCTGTACGCGGAGTTCCACATCCCTCCTCCGAAACGTACAGGAGACCCAGCGAGGGCCCAGCGGGGCACCTGGACATTTCAGAGGAGGGATGCGGACGTGCCTATCGACTAGTCGATGGAGATAGTAAAATAACCCATAGTTAACACCCCTAGTTCACACAATACAGCAGCTCAGAGTGAGGTGCCATATGGTGCGCAGAACAGCCCAGCGCTGATGTGCTCTGTGGCCAGCCCGGAGCAGCGGCCCACTAAGAACAGACGGGAGATGCACAGAAGTGAGTCCCGGGCTCTTCGCTCACTTAGGCGCAGAGACACAGGCCCCCTTCTAGAGCTCAGAGCTGTGGAGAAATGCTGGACGAGAGCCAAGCACAAATGGACACAGGGATGCCTGCCTGTGTCTGCAGAAAGCACCGAATTGGAGGGACAAACTGTCCCATTCCTAAGGAGACGTTAACTCTGAAACCTAAGGATGGCAGCTCCCACTACTCTGAAAACTGATATTATGGAGACAGCATAAAATAAACAAAATCAAAATCAAAGGAGAGGCTCTGGCTGGGACGGCACTGTTAATGCCACAGACCCCTTCCCTCCAGTTACAGGAAGCTGCTGCAGGACATCCGCCAGGCCGGGGCTTGCCCCAGGAGTTGAGGCAGCTGGCACAGGGCACACAAGGCCTTACAAGTTTTATATGCTTCTACCGCGAAGGGCTATGCTAGCAGCCCAGGGCCAGTGTGGGGGCCCACCACGGGATACGTAACGCCCAGTCCTCTGGGGCAATTGGCAGGAGAGGAATGCGGGGGAAGGGGGGCCCACGCTCTGAGAATGGGGCTCTCTCTGGTCAAAAGAGAGTTTTGCCCCTGACTCCCAGCGTAAGAGCTGTGCGTGAACAGCCACTGCTTTCCGGGGCCCTCCGCGGGAGTCTCCCCCAGCCTAGAGTCAGCAGGGCTCAGAGGCAACTTGGTAACCCAACCAGCGTGCTAGCAATGAGTGGGCAAAAGGGAACCCTTGCCTGCTGAGCCAGGCGAGAGCCAGTCTCTCTCACACAGACAGACACGTCCTCACCAATCCTCTAGCCAAGTAGTAATGCACAAAATGCTTCCAGTTGATTTCTTTGCCAGGATCTCGCCAAAAAAAATAGAGGAATCCCACAGCAACGCCTGTGCCCATGACAGCCAGGTAGCCAAAGTCCTTGTCGTCCCAGGGGAACTCTCCCTGGGGCGGGAGGAAAGGAAAAGAATGCGACAAGTCAGCAGCTGGGAGAAACACATTCCGAAGGAGCGCGGGAGCAGCTGGCGGTTCCCCGCCCGCGCAGTCCCCCCAGCGCTGCTGCATGTCTCACGACTGCTCTAACTGTGAAGCAACAGCCAGCGCATCTGTTCTGCGGCCCCCCCGGCCTCCGAGCATGGAGCCTGCTTCCACACCGAGTGTCCCCACCTGAGCCGGAGCCCAGGACGTCAGGCCGGGCCCAATGCTGGCCTGGGCCCATGGACTCGGCCTGAGCGCCGATCGGCCATGCTGCAGGAAATGCCAGCCATGGAGTCGTGGCCTGCAGAGCACAGGCCCCGCACGCCTTGGCCACTCGGACCAAGGAACAGTCTCCACTAGCCAGGCTTCCCTCTAGGAGGGGAGGAGCTCGGCTCTGGGCCGCATTCAACCCCCAGTCCCCTGTGCATCACCCGCTTTATTCAAGCAGGGACTCCAATTTCCAAGCTACCCCCCACCCCAGCACTCCAGGAGCGACCGTGTAGCCCCACGGAAAAGCGATGCCTAGGTCCCGGGGGGCAGAGCTCCTGCCATGGAGAGGTCCTGCAACGCTTGGAGTTACTCTGGCCAAAAAGCCAAAGGGTTTGCAAGCCGGGCATGTAAGCCTCCCAAGCAACCCCAATGCCTCTGCCATACGGAAGCTGATGCGGTCAGTGACTGATGTCGCCTGTCTAGCTACCTACCGCGCTGCCCAGATATCGCGGACAGGAAATGACCGGTTCAGATCACATGGACATAGTCTAGTCTGCCCATTCCCCACCTCCTGGTGGGAAAGTCACCGCACCGCCGGCGCCCTGCCCTACGGACAGGCTCACACGTGTTCAGCCCACACGGCCCATGTGTCTGGGCTAGGGATGGACGCGACTAGTTGACTATCCGATAAGCAAATGCTGCTCGGGCAGTTGAATAGGAACCCGACTAGTCGCTTCCGCCCCCCTTGCTGCCTCTCTCAGACAGCGGCAGCAAGGGAGGGGAACACGAGCTGGTGCTGGGGGGAGCCAGGTTAAAAACTTGTCCCCCCCAGCACTGTCTCCGCAGGGGGCAGGGAGCAAAAGCGCGAGCAGGGATTGAAACAGCCCCGCTCGCACCAGCCCCACGGCTGCTCCTCTCCCCCTGGAATGTACAAGCGCCGCCGGCGACTCTCTTCCGTTTCGAAGGAAGGGGCACTGAGGGGAACTTTGCTTTGCCCCTGGTACGGGTTCCCGCTGCCTCTCGCCCTCTGAAATGTACAAGAGCCGCAGGCTGCCCCTGTACATTTCAAAGGGAGAGGCGCAGTGGGACAGCGAGCACCCCCCTTATCGACTAACCGAGTAGTCGATGGAAATCCCATCGACTACTCGATTAGCCGATTACTGGAAATGTAACACCCCTAGTCTGGGCTGCAGGCCGGCGCGAAGGCTCTCCCTGGCATTGCTGGAGTTTGCCGTGGATACTGCCCGTCGACAAGGTAACCTTTCCTGCCATCGCTCGTGTCCTCTCTCCGACGCCTGGGTGTCCTCAGGGCAACGCTATAGGCAGGCACGGCACACAAGGGTTCCAGGGCTAGTTCCGCTTCCTTAGCCCCGAGTCAAGTTTGAGTGCAGGAATTGCCTAGTTTTCAAAAACCAAACCCATGTAAGGCGCAGGGAGTCTGGCGGCAGGAGCGCCTGGATGTGCTGAGCACCGCTGGTCCAACTCTGCCCTGAGCTGGTGATGAGCCGACCAGCCAAACCCCAACCAAAACCCACGTCCCCTCCTCACTCTCGGAGGCTGCCCTAACCTGTACCCTGGCTGGCACTGCCTGTGTTGTGAGCCAGGCGATGGAACCACTCACTCAGGTACCTGGCTGCTCCTTGCACCCAGTGCTCCTGTCAGGAAGGCCCAATACCCACTCTGCACTTCCCAGGGAGCTGGCCCTATGCCGAGGGGCTGGGGGGCCTCACAGCGGGTTCACATCCCCTTGGTGCTGGTGCAGCTGGAGCCAAGCACTCACTCGGCACCCCGGGGGGGCACGTTCTCTCTGCCTGGCTGACGCGGTGGGGATGTCACCGTGCTGGGCGCCAGGGTCCTGAGCTCTCTGGGAGCCTTGCAAGTCTCAGAGAGCTGGCGAGCCCCTGCAGCCCCACATGAGCTCTGGGCGGGGAGAGGGCTGACAGCCAGGGTCCCCTCCCCGGCGCGGTCACAGGCAGCCTCGCCGCGGCCTGCGCTGCAGCTTGTGTTCCCATGGCTGGTGCCGGGCCCAAACAAGAGGGTTCTGCCAGGGGCCC